ATATTAGTCCGAAAACATTTGGTTGCTAGTCGAAGTGTTGCAGAGCTTCGAATTATGTGTAAAACTTATTTATTAGCTAACCCAATACAATACGTTTGCGTCTGATTTTTAGAAAACTCCTCTGTCAAAATGCAGATCTTTTTGTTCGAGCGGTTGCAGGTGTCACAATTAAATTTTATATAAGTATTAGGTTGTCCGGAAATTAATGCAGGTTTTGAATTCCAACCGCAGTAAGTCATACACTTCTCATTTCTAAATAAGTTGCAAAACATCATTCGATAGAGCAAAGCAAGCTCTACAAGACATCTATCTTGCTTTAGCGACAGCTCTAATCCATCTCGAGTTTCAAGCCAAAAACTAAAAAGATTTAACTACCCGAAAAATTTAGAAAAATCGTAACTCTGTTCATAAAAATCCTAGAAAAATTCTAACTTGCTCACGTAAACACAATCCACATAAGGCATCTATATACGCGGTTGCCGTACTTTTTTCTGTGTTAGAAATCAAGAAAACGGAAGTTTTCGTGCATTTGCCAAAGTGATGCTGTGCCGTCCCCACATAGGTAGTTGTATACCACAAGCCTATAGAAGTACAGACTTAAATTTTCAGCTCTCTACAAGCTCTAGTTCTCGAGAAATATCGAATACAGTTTTCACTAGTCATGTGATCCAAGCTAAAATTCAAATTTCTCGAGAACCAAAGCTTGTAGAGAGCTCAGAATTTAAGTCTATACTTCTACAGACATGTGGTATACAACTACCTATGTGGGGACGGCGCGGCATCACTTTGGCAAATGCACGAAAATTTCCGTTTTCTTGATTTCTAACACAGAAAAAAGTACGGCAGCCGCGTATATAGATGCCTTATGTGGATTGTGTTTACGAGCAAGTTGTGTTTGTGAGCAAGTTAGAATTTTTGTATAATTTTTATGAACAGAGTTACGATTTTTCTTAATTTTTCGGGTATTTGAATCTTTTTAGTTGTTGGCTCGAAACTCGTGGTGGATCAGAGCTGTTGCTAAAGCAAGATGGCCATTTTGTAGAGCTTGCTTTGTTCTATCGAATGATGCCTTGCAACCTACTCAGAAGTGAGAAGTGTATGACTTATTGCGGTTGGAATTCAAAACCTGCATTAATTTCCGGACAACCTGATACTTGTGGTTTCGTAGCAATCCACACTGGAGGCGGAAAGAAAAGAGGTGGCGGGAAATTTACTTGAGGACGGGAATCACTTGCATTCTGCTCACACCCATGTAGTAAACACGTGTAAACACAAGAGTGGCAATTGTTGATGACATGGTTGATGCGTAACGAAAAAGTTTTTAGATCATTGCAGTCAAGATGAAAATTAAAGAAATCACTTCGTGCTAATCGGAATCGACTAATTTTCCACCATGAATCAGACGAACATATTCGTTTCCTCTTTTTTGCTGGTCGTGTAGCAATTGATGCGATTAACAGCTGAGCGGGCTTTGTGTGATGGCATTACACTAAGACAAATTGCGTTTTTGTTCTGGTTCGAGCATAAACCATTTGAGTTCCAAAACTTCGCCAAATACCTCAGTACTTATCACTTTTTATTACCATTTCATGTCCTTTGCTGGAGAATTAGATCGATGTTCACATTTGAAGTCTGAGCTGTTACGCAGAAAAATCGTTGAATGTTAAACAGTATCAACTTTCTGAAATAGCTGTTATTCATTTGCGCATTTCGTTACATCGTCTATGTCATGGAAGGAGATAGTAAAGAAGTTTATGAGAACAAAGGGAGAGGTTCAAACGCAGTCATTCCACTTCCTAACATTCTTCATTTTCTGCATTATGTCATTTCTTTTCCATGAAATCTTATGGTTTTGTCACTTGAGAAGCAATGTCTCCATGTCGTGATGATAATATTCGAACTGACACTTGTGATCCATCACTTTAGGTACAGGTTTCGACTTCTTCAATGGCAGTTACACATGTTTTCTCATTGTTTTTACCTCGTACCATCAAAACTGGTTCGATGCCGTTTGACATTGACCTTGTCGCTACCGCTCAAGACCACGATCGTGTTCCTTTTATCAGCGATTCGTTGTTTTAAGCGTATAATTAGGATAACTTCTTATTCTTTTCATGCTTAAGAAGAGAAAATTATCGACTTATCTTGCCCTTCAATTCCCGATGGTTGTAATACTAACTGTAGGTATTGGGCTCAGTTTCAAAACGAGCGATCAATAATATATGCCCTTTAATAGTTTGGTGTTTCTCAGATGTTTTCCCAGAAGTTTTCTTTCAAAAAAGCAAAGTGTAGTTGAAATATTTGTAGAACTGTTTAGGTGCTTTTAATTGCATAACGCATGAAAGGCTTTTCCTTTGAACGATGTCGTGAGCCGAAATTACTGGTAACTTATTCCATTCGAACAGTATTTGTACAATGCTTGTTATACCCTGTTGCTGCTCTGTTACTGTCCTTCATACTTGGCTCTCTGGTTCATCCAGAATCTCTCTACAAATATAAATGGACTTGCGGGGTGAGTACGCGTACTTTTAATTCTATCAAAAGCAACATTTTGTCAGTTACCAATCTGAAATTTGAAATTATTACTTAGCGTCTCTGCCCAAATTCATATCAAAATTTAGATCGTTCATCTTCCTTCTATATCGCGGGTGATAAATTTGCCATTGGAGCGTACAATCTTCCAACTACTTATTTTGTTCTCCGTACCGTTTCGACTATTCGCGCTTCTTAGACATTGTGAGTTCCCATTTCCACTTTTGCGAGAAATGTTAAGATATCTACATTTCTGTTAACGCGAAACTGAATTTTATAAGATAGTACAGCATTTTTTGCACCACCTAACTTTCCCCGAATTCTCAAAACGATGCGTTTCTTACAACAATGAGTGATCCACCTTATGACACTGAATAAAGAATCCGAAAACTGTTGAATCGATAGATCAACAAACGGCAAAGACCTCCCTTGTTACAGAAAGCAGATATTGTAGAGGAGCTATCAATGAGCTCTTAACCTAGATTACTATTGAAATTCACCGCAATCTCCCTTATGTAGCATTTGACAATATGCCTACAACACTTGCTCTGAAGAGAATTCCTATTTATATTTGTGCTGATGTAGTGTTTACACTTGTGCTATTCTAACTGGAAGAACTCGGGGAAGTAACAAAACATTGCTGAAAAATTGAAAGCATCCTTAATCCTCTTGCAGGGCACGAATTCAGGAAGGACAGAGAATCTAGAGCGTATTCATTAGCTAGGAAAACATTGGTTGCTGGTGGAGTGGGCGACGTAGTATTTCTCAGCCTCCTTTCTGTCGTTGGAGAGCGAGAAAGTGGAGGTAATTATTTCTACAAGCAACCTCTGTATAAAGTCGTTTTCGGTAGTAATGCAAGATACAAGAGAGTTAAACAATTTTCGTTCAACCATTTTCTTTTTTCAATTAGCTTTGCGACTCCAAGGAAAAAATTTCTTTCTTTTCTCTGCTTTGGGAAAACTGGTACTTTCAGATGTGCACGTCCTCCTCTTCGCTCTTTTTGCAGCTGCATCCTATTTCTATTTTATTTCGATGTGCTTGCTCACAAGATGGACTTATCCTAGCTCTAAACAGGTAAGTACTGTTGTGCAATTTACAAATACACTATGATAATATAGATTATTCTATAAAAATCTTACCCATTAGGAACTTCCTTTGAGATTATTCTCTTCATAAAAAAATACATACAGCGCAGATATGGTGATATGTAGAAAGTAGTGTTAGTTTTTGATGTCCTTTCGTATGTGCTCGTTAAAAATATGCAATCAGCAATGTGATCAGCTTTTGCAATCAGCTCTTCTTCCGAGATTCATCCGACTTTGACTTTTCCTTCAGGAATCGCAGAGGAAAAAGTTGCAAGTGATCTTTTTGGGCTCGGTGACGTTGACCATTCCTATTATTTTCATTTTCTTTGTTCTCTACAATGTCTATTGCGTGCCATCAAGTGAGTTTCCTTTTTCTGCCTGTAGAACAGTTCCAAGGTTTCTTGACAAATGCACGTATGCGTTAAATTTCTAATAATTTTCGAACCATTATTTTCGAATTAATATGCAATGCCAAATGTGCACAGCTCAGCTCCGGAAGCTATCGTTTTAGCTAAACTCTAAGCGAATGTAGTAATGTGATGTAACGTTCTAAACTGTAGATGTTCTAAACTGAATGTTTCCGCCAAAATTTAACTTTTTGGAATACGTACTATGCTGATATATAGAATGCTTACTCCTGCAATACTGATATATGTACATTACCAGATTCTTCTCTAAATTTCGTTTGCCAAGATGGTACATATTTCCCACGATTTTCGTTTAGAAATTTTTTCTGAATAAAACAACAATAAGGTTTGCGAATTCTAGCATACGAGTTCTTCGCCATATTCGAGTACGCCACGGTAGCAGGAATTTATGGCTTTCACGTCAGTTCATTTTGGAAGATGACTGGCTCCATTCGTGTCTACCACTCAAGTCTCAAAATGCACAGCATACGGGTATAAAAAATTGATTTATTGTACATTATTGATTATTTGAATAAATAATTCATACATAGAAAACAGAGTTATCACAATAAGACTAGGAATTCAGCAAAGAAAATTGATTTAGCCCGTATTGTAGGAAAAGCATCGAAGACGTAAAGTACTTACAGTAGGGTTGCACTAAGAGTAGGGGCACTAAATCGTAAAAATAGAGTAAAACAGCTTAATTATGTCAACTACAAATCTTTCAGGCAGTAAAATTTGCTGAACTTTATACTAATTTTTGATCTACAAAAGGGCAAATTTCCTCCTACATAATTGTGGAAAAGGGCTCCTACATCTTGCACTATTGGAAAAACCATCTCAGCGGAGAAGTATCCTGTGCTGTATACCGGGGATAATATGGAAAATTTTGGCAAATTATAATTTGGGCTCTGACCGCCTTGCACTATTTACCCGTAAGCACTTGGGAAAAGAAGCGGATAAAAGGCAAAAAGCGCTATCGTATCAGTGATTCAAGTAACTTCTTCCGTGATGGATCCAGCTCCATCGAAGCCTGATCAAGTAGGGCACGCTCACCCATCTGAATAATGGTTTACTGTACGACTAGCATATTACGACAAAATTGAGACTACAAGATCTTACCAATTGGGTGAGTCCTTTAGCGAATTCGGTCACTGCCTTCTTCATTTCGAGGTCCGCTACTCCAGATTTCAAACTATCCCAAAGTATCGGCAAAGCTACTACCTCCACTTGTTTGGGTTTGGCTGGGTAAAGTTTGAAGTTCAACCCTGAAAAATAGGCTTAGAGTGAATATGGAACCGCTGGCGGTTCCGGAATGCTTACGGTTGAACATGCTGAGCATGTACGGCTTTTGTTTTATATTCGCTTTGCGAGTGGCAGCGGCCATGGCTGGTGAAAGACTAGCAGGATCTGTAACCATAAAATTCATTAGAAGATTAAGTTGGGAAGTTCTTAGAAAAGTCAGCTTCATGATCAAAGCAGAGAAAAGTTTTTGAATTAACGAAATTGCAATTTATGACGAAGTATTGAATTGTAAAAAACAATTAATTTACCACCCATGTTTTAATCAGTCTGCTGAATTGATGAAAAATTTTTGATCAAAAAAGGCATTATTAGTTGCACAAAACGCCTTTGCAAGAGATTATTTTCCTCAGAGTGACAGCTGACAAACATTCATCAGAAACTGTTGACTATAGAATGAACTGACCGATTTGTACAACTGTATCGCGCAGACATTTTTGAGCCGTAGTACGATGCTCTTCACTTTTACTGGATAAATGGGACATCAGAGCAAGCACCAGTTGATTCAATACAGCTTTGAGATGAGACTCAGCCGAGTACATTCTGAAAGCAGCATTTAGAGTTATAAATTAGGGTTTATATCGAAGCAAATGCGAGAAGAAAAGTCAACTTACTTGCTGAGAATACCCAGCGATGCTAAGTAGGTATCGAGTCCTTCTAAGGAAACTTTGCTGTTGATGTCATTCAGTCGACCAATGAAGGCTTCCATGAGCTGCAAATAAAAGAAGTCAATTAGAAGAAACAGTTTGTTAAGGTATTCCCACCTTAGTATCACTAGCAATGGCTTTTGGAGCTGTTATAGTCATTTCTAGGAACCGCTTAAGTCCACCAATACGTCTTTCCCACCTGAAAAATACAGAATTACTTTAGGAATAAGAGACTATTGGCGTCTTTCTTACCCTGCCGCAGTAAGATCAGCTTTGATCTCATCGAGATCTAACTGAACATTGTCGGGTAATTTTCGCTGCACAGCTTTTCGTATACTTCCACTGCGTGATAGCGATGCACCCAAAGAGGTACTCGTGCTGTCCAAAGAATCGATGCCGCCCTAAGATAATTATTTATTTGAAGCTAGATTCAAAATGCATCAGCATTTACAGAAAGATTCAAAAATCGGAACCTGTTAAATACAAAGATCACCTTAAAAGAAAAAAGGATAAATTCACCTTTTTACCAATATCGGCTAGAATCTCTTTCACTGCTTTCAACTCTGAATCGCTAATACTTTTCTTCAACTGCTTTTCGAAGTCAGGATCCTAAAAAGAAAGTCTTGCAAATGTTTGGCTGAAGTTGCCGAGAAGACAAAGGGCCATGTGAAGTGAAATTAAAAAAGGCCAAAGTTATATTGAAAGAGGACAGGGTAAAGCAATTGAAAAACAGTATTTCGCTCACCTGACTCAAGCTCAATAGTGTTTGTTTCCCATGCATTCGCACTTGTGGATTCGCATCTTTGCAGAAAGCAATCAGGTGAGGGACAATTTTTGATAGTTGGTCAGGGGTGTTAAGTAAAAGCGACACTCCCATTCGTGATACCAAAGTGCCAACAAACCCTGCGCAAGATGCTCGAATGGTATTGTTCTTGGATCTGAATATTGCACATGAGATAGGAATGGAATCGTTTCAGGCATTTGTTAGCAGATATTTCACAGGAGAAAAACTTTTCTAGTCAAAAGATTACAATTTGAATAATGGGAAAATTGTTGAGGAATTTGATCCAGTGGTTTTTTTTTCAAATTGGACGTGACTACCAATCATACTTACAGGAATGTCACATGCATTGCCTTTTTTGTGACTACATACTACAATTTGCTGATCAATTGAGATGGAAAAAAAAGCAGGAGATATTATTGTTAGCATAATGGTTTTGTCGCCTATTCGACTAGCTCCAGCAAAAAAATGGGGAAAAACTGGCTTTCAGGAAATGATATTTCAAAGTGAACGCAATCTTTTACAGCCCCTATTTAAGCTGATATAACTCATAATACATAATTAGTAAGTAGAATTTTGAAAAGGTAATCTTACTTTGATCCAGCAGTAATAATCGAATGAAGGGCCTTTCCAGCTGATGCATGCTTCACAACCTTTTCCAATGCTTCGTTCGCATCCTCACGAATGAAGGCATTTGAAACGTCGCCAGCCCGGTAGATTAGGGTATGACAGAGCTGAATCATAATACATAAATTAAGGCTTGTTGGCAATCAGTCATCAAAATTCTAAAAGAGTAAAAAAGAATTTGGCAAAACTGATATCACGAGGTGAACATGGAGATACATGGAATAAATTTCTAAATTGCACTGTTGGAAGGTCAGAGTTCAATAGTAAACTCATGTAAAAAGCAATAAATTAGTAGTGCTCACCTTGTCCAGCTCCGTGTCCATCTTCGACTTCATATTCTGCGTTAAAGTACCAGCACATACCAATGCAACCCGCGATACACATGAGCGCAGATTTTTGCACTCATTAAGCACAGCAACTACCACCTGAAGAATTTTCGTGCTTTGAAATAATGCTCCTTTTTTCCATTCATTCCTACCTCGTGCATATGATCTGCTACTTCTTTTGGATTTGAGGCAGACAATTCGCTAATGAGGTTGATGCCATCGACTTTGTCGCTCCTAAAAAAATAAACTTTGTTTTTTGTTAGGAAATCTGAATTGAGGCTTGCTGATGTTATTAGGTTGTCAAGAAAATAATGTCGTTTTTTATTTGCTTGCTTTAACAAAACAAACAGACTCAACCCAACAAAGGGTAATGGGTAATGTTCGATAGAGCAAAACAAGCTCTACAAGATGGCTTCATGATCTTGCGCCAAGCTCGATCCACGGAGAGTTCGCACTCAAAATCTGAAGATATCCAAATGCCCAAAAAATCGAAAAAAATCTGATCTTCGTCCAAATAATTTCTACGGATCTCCTACTCGCACATGTCAATACTTCCGATATGTGATACCCATATGTGCAGTTGCTATATTTTTTCCTTGACTACAAACTGAGAAAACGAAATTTTTCGTGTTTTTCTAAAAGCAATGGCGAGCCGTTCTTGCATATGTGATTTCTATACTACAAGCCTAGGTAAGTACAACTATAGATTTTCAGCCCATTCCGAGCGGTAGTTTTCGAGAAATATCGAAATCAGTTCTCTTCTCTTCAGTTTCAGTGCTAAAAACGACATTTCTCGAAAACTACCGCTCGAAAGAGGCTGAAAATCTATAGTCATACTTATCTAGGCCTGTAGTATGGAACCACATATGCAAGAATGGCTCAGCATTGCTTTTGGAAAAACACGAAAGTTTTTGTTTTCTCAGTTTATAGCCGAGGAAAAAATACAGCAACTGCACATTTGGGTATCGCATATCGGAAGTATTGACGTGCGAGTAGGAGGTCGGTAGAAATTATTTAGACGAAGATCTGATTTTTTTCGATTTTTTGGCATTTGGATATCTTCAGATTTTGAGTTCGAACTCTCCGTGGATCGAGCTTGGCGCAAGATCATGAAGCCATCTTGTAGAGCTTGCTTTGCTCTATCGAACATTACCCATTACCCTTTGTTGGGTTGAGTCTGTTTGCTTTGTTAAAGCAAGCAAATAAAAAACGACATTATTTTCTTGACAACCTAAAATTATACAAAGAAGCATTTAGATTAGAAAAAATAACATTTGTAATATAACATTAGAAACATTTCATACAATGATAGCCATTTTTTCTTGGGTTAATTGGGATTATTTCAAATATGAGGCAAAATTTTATAGAATAAAAGACAATCAGCAATGTTTAGCAAAAACTCGTGATCTGAACAATAACGATAAAGCAAATTTAAAAGCTTGTACAAATTCAAAAGTTGACTGTAACTCTACTGCTGCCTGAAAATAACTACAAGAACTCTTCTTAAAAAAAGAGTAAAACGATCAATTGGGAGTTGTTCAGAGAGATAAAAGTGAAAAAGTTCTGGAGTTGTTTCTTTTTGAATTTTTCAACTCTTGAGTAGAAATAAGAAGCTTATTACCTTAGTAAGAGTAAAAACTTACCACTCTTCGCTTTCGATCTTCTTTAGCGCACTCTGTACAGTTTTCTGTCCGGAAGGAATGCCGTTTGCAGCTCCTCTACCCGGAGTGGTAGGTTGTGCTGCTTTGGGTAGTTTCCCATTCGCATGACCATTTGATAAATTTTTGTGAGATGCTGATGGCACAATCTTTCCATTTACATGATTCTTCTTGACTGGGATGGACTTCTGGAAACAATCGAAAATTTACTGTTTGCACTTGAACTTTGTATTAGCTTTGATTTCTACCATAATTTAGATTTAGATTCATATCTTGTCCTCATAAATTTCAAACATCTTAAATTTTTATGGTCATGCCATGCCACGTTACTCTGTCTCCATGACAGCCTTGCAAGGCTTTGAGCTCCGAACTCACCGAATTTTTTAGAGGAGCATGATTTGTAGCGTTGACCGGGAGACTGTGATGACTTACACTTTTCTTTACCAAAGCACCGTATCCGTCGGAGTGCGTCAGTTCTATAAGGAAAGATTATAAGTAAATTAACAAATTAGAAAATTCAAAGTTATGTTGTACACAAAAATCCTGATTTCTTTGCTCATGTAGTTTCTCTGGACAGAGCAGACATACATTTTTTTGGCACTCATGAACTTTTACAAGTGTGCAAATTTTGATATGATGGTTACACAGGGCAATGGCACGTTCAGCTAGCAAACCTTTACTATTTCAATTTCTAGCCATCTACTCGTGAGAAACAAAAAATAGAAAGCTTGAAAAACGTGTTTGAAATATCTAGAAGATATAAATTAAATAACTTAGTGAGAAACAAAAAATAGAAAACTTGAAAAGTGTTTTTGAAAAATTTAAAGAATATAAATGAAATAAGTTATGACCTACCAGCAAATGACATCAAACTCTTATAGTACTTTCAGGTGCAACTCAATAAGCTAACGATTGAATAAATGATAAGCTTTGTCTCTTAGCAAGGCAAGCATGAATTTTAACAGTGAAAAAAAGTTAATTGGCAGTTTGTATAATATACTTCGCATCTTTTTTTCCTCCAGTAAGAAAAGTTGATAGGATCAAACAGCCAGTAAACTGAAATAATGATTGTCAAGTCTATTTAGTCATACATTTTTAAGCATAAGGGACAGTATTCAATTACAACATTATACTTTGCTTTTGCATCTATCACAAAAACTCATTTTGCCTAGAAACTTCAACGATTTGTCCGAATTAGGAATTAAATGGGAGCGCGTGTATTTAGAATTTGAGAATTCGGACTTGCAAAGATTCTGCGTCAGTCTAGAAAACCTCCAAATTGCTGCATCTCTTACATCATGTAGGTAACATTCTTTGCGTGTTTCAAATAACCTTTCAGGTTTTCTGAGAATTTAGCAAACTCCAAGCGTATTTTGTGATTCGCTAAATCCAATAACACAAGCTTGCTCATTGCTACACAGACGTTGTCGATTGCTCTTTTTATTAGGAATGTCCTTATTCGTTTTGTCTTCAATAGGACAGACAAAAAAATTAGCTACCTTTATGGACTATGGTGTGACGGTTCCTCTTTGAGACAACTCTAGCAGAGATACGCGGAAGGATAGAGAAGTTAGGAAGGCTCATTCGGGACAGAAACCCTTTCAAGTAATGTTGAGCAGCGCAGTACAATAATCTGACATGGCTAGAGCGGGTAGGAATCGAGAATCGAGCAAGCAAAACTCTAAGCCATTACCTTACCTGGATAGGCATAAACTTCATAACCAGCTATTAATTAGATTGTACTTTTACTATTGGAAAGGTCAATCTGTTGGATTCTGAGGTTATGCTCCTTGGTTTTAAATGAATGGCACTCTACTCCACTACCGTATCGCGAATTATGCGTTCCGAAATCACTACTCCCAAAAAATTTCTTACGTGGTGTCCATATATGTTGTCGATTGTCTAACCATGAATGAAGCGATCTTGACGCTTTAATGTTGTGGATAGGAGGCAGATAATGCTGAGAATACATTGTAGAAATGAGCTTTTGGCGGATACCGCGGTGCCAGGCAACCGTTGGCTTGCCATTATTCGAGAGAAGAATATGTGCGGCGTGTGTTAGGTGAAGAATGCATATGTGGTGTTTGGAGAATCTTCAGAAAAATGGGGATCCACCATTGCTCGGAGGGCCATAGGGGAAGCGATAAAAAATTTTCGCAGGTGGGTTACCTACATCAGAAATTATGAATAGGCTACGTTAGGTCCTCGTGACCCTCTTTAGTTAGCATTGGAATTACAAAAAAAACTGAGTTATTGACATAAAAAGGATGCACTGGAAGACTTTTAAACTGGCACCAACCGCTGGATGATTAACTTATAAGATCTTTACAGATGAGAAGGAGCTCTACACTACGTATCTGTAGGAAAGCTTCATAAATTTTACAATAAGAATCACGTTTGCTTCCATTTGAGATCATAGGCTGAGCAAAGAGGTTTTTTTCTTAAAGATTCAGATAGCTGGATTTAAAAGTGAGCGTTTTGAAGGTGAGCATATTGTAAAGCTTGGAGTTTTCCGCTATGAAAATCATATCTAGAAAATTTCAGAGTTTCCTTCTCGAATGTCACCGAGATTTGATATTGATCGGCATTGGATAGGACTGAAAAGAAATACTTAAGCATCTAGAGATTTCAGATTATGATCATCATCAATAACTGTAGCCAAACTACCCGTTCATCAAATTTAAAATTAAAAAGGATTTTTTTTGCTAACATGAAAAGGAAAATGTAGTACAATATCATGGAATTCTTAACTACTAGCTCTGATTGTGAGTGTGGGCAAGCATGGACCATTTCTATTCACTGGGTTGCGCAGAGGAAGTAGATAGTAAAATTGTAGAAGTTTTAAAACAATAAGGAGCCTTTTTTCTTGAAATCCGCCCGCTACCGCTTCTTTAGAGGCTAAGCAAGCTACATATCGCACCTTTTTATGTTAGAAACCAGAATGCAACTGTCGGAGCTGAGAAAACGAAAACTTGATTGTTCTCAAAGTGCACAAATGGTAAAAAATTGTAGTTGCTTGTTAGAGAAATGAAGGACTTTTTTCGCACATATACGTGCCAGGGTATTAAATCAACTTTCGAGATTAATGTTGCCGCTGCAAAAGCAAATCAAATTCGTAGCAGAAATATCAACTTTTATGAAAAGCGCATATAAGCAATCAAAGTGAAGGGATTAATGGACAACCTTATCTGAGTTTTGCTTACTTTATAAGTAGAAGGTGGTTATCCAAAGTGGCCCTTTGAGATGAGATACGTACTGCTTTGAAGGCCATGCGACGCTGAGTCCAAATCTGCCCTCGTGCTGCGAATTCTTCAGCGAAGAGTTATGAAAGTTTTTAAGACAAAAAATTGAACTTGTAATTAGGATAAAAATCAGCCATAACATTGTTCCTAGGACTTGATCACTCTATGCAATGAATATTCATTTTTCGAATACATCTACTAGTCCCTGCTTAAAATGAACGCTAGGAAAAGTTAACGAGTAATTCACATTGAGAATCAATTTTTGCTCATAAAAACCTTCGTGGCTCCTCGCTCAGAAACCCGCATCAGATAAGGAAAGCAGATTTGGAACCAATTATCCCTGCTCTTCAAAGCAATAATCTCATATTAGCAGATCAAGTAAACTAAGCCATCATCTCCTTCAGTGATTCAAAACCTTGCAATCATGTATAGTGACGGTCCTCTCTAACAAAGTGTACTCATGCAAAACTTCCTTAACAACGCTTATAAACGCATGTCAGTGGCAGGTGTTACTGAGAAAGAAACGTGACCTATGTCCCCAAGGAGAAGAAGTAACATTAGCACCAAATTTGCACAAATCTTTCAATTCTGCTGAGCGATTGCCCGCATTAACGATGTATCAATAAATATATTATATAAATAAATAAAATAAGTAATTGTAATCAAAGCCACGGAAAGCCCCAGAAAGAACAAAAACATGAAAGCCTAGATTTTGAGTGGATGTTGCCTTCAACAGAAAGTTCGGAGGCATTCTGTAACTAGCATTACTTGACTGCACATAAACCCACTTCCTATTTTTCCAGTCTGCTTTTACTCAAATGTGTAGAGACCGTTTCTGCTGGCAAAGAGAGCATGGGTACATACTCGACTAAATTTGTATTGATCCACGACGTGTTTCTCATAGCCGCATGATATCGTCCACAGATTAACCCTAGTCTCATTTGTGCTAAAGGAGTCAAAGGCAGTGTCTCACCAAAATTTGGTTGCAGGGGGTTCTTGTATGTTACTTACAAGCCTATCGGACATGTCTAACAGTGTAGACGCTTATAACAGCACGATTCCCAAAAACCCTGCATTTTGGAGGCCCGCAGATGTAACGTGGACAAGTTGTACCTTCTCACATTAGCCTCCGCCACAGTGACAGCAGGATGAGAAGGTGAACGCTGAGTGGATGGAGTGTTGAGACACATCTAGGGGAAACCGGAGAAGTCGAGCGCGCGTACCAAATCGCTCTCCGCATACCATTTTCAGCAAATTCTTCTCAACACAGAGGAGCCAAATCGAGCCTGACTTGTAGCAGTGACCTACTCAGGGGCCCTCTGGTAGAATGTGTAGTGGTGTGCGTTACCCCGTTACCCCAACTCTGGTGGAATACTGCCTTTAAGAGGAAACAGATCTTATAACTCAGCAAGAACTTTGTTTTACGCTTGTTGGGGACCGACGTCTTGCTTACCTTTCACTGCCGACATAGTTTGCCATGAGCATTTGAACATAAACAAATTATTGAATGAGAGAAAGCTTGTTTCACCTTGACTATCCAAAACACACTCATGGAGTTGGTGGTCAGCTTTGAAGGATGAAGAAGAAAAGACCTAGTTTGTCTTTTACCATTAAGACTTGTCCCCACTTGAAATATGGCTCTGGTTTTATCAATAGTTTTTGAATGAAGAAAAATGGATTGCAGTAGGATTCCAAGAAGACGAAGTTGTTATGTTAGATACCATGACAATTTTAAGATTTCATAAGAAGTAACATTTAAGAAATCATCATGGGTTATGTTTTAACTTCAATGTTGAAGAATTTTCAGATGATATGGCGATTGACAGATATAAGTTCGTGAGGACTACGATGTTACAGACTGGACTTTTTCAACACAATGATATGTTTTCTTGCCTAATTAAACTTGAAACTACTCTTTTGCAGTACCGATGGTCACTGAACCAAAGTTTCGAAAGCAAGCCTCAGTTTGGTATCTTGATAAGATTGCACAAGTAGAAATTATCAATTATTTCGACCTGATTTCTCGAATGCTTTGACTTGGTTTTACTCCAAACAACTTTTTCAAATTACTTCACTCATTATTACTGACTTTCTACGGTTGCTATGAAAGCTGCGCTCCTAAAAATTGACTCACCATCAAAGTATTGTCCTCCCTTTGCTGGCTTGATTGGCATATCGTCGTTGTTGGCAGGCGGGCTGTTCTCAACCTCTTCGTTCAAACTTCCTTCGCTTTTGGCCTGAAAGCCACCAGTTTGCAAGACAATGTTAGGTTACTAAAGTTTATCTGGTAAACCTTGGAAAGATTAGAAGGTGGAGTTCCGATCGGCTTTTTCAACGGTATATGGTTATTGTTGAGCTCATTCTTTTTGTACCCTTCAGGCGGTGGCACACCATTTGGAATCGCAGTTACCTGAGAAGAGTAAATCTCAGTTTTGCAAAACTGCTTCTTTGCAGTAACCCTCGTTTTTTTTTTGAAAAAATAAAGAACGAACAGTCGCCCGATTCACGTGACATCACCGTAGTGTGGCCATATCTCGCTTCAAAGTGGACGAATTCTTAATGCATGGGTCTTCAACTCAGCTCGGCGCGGTGCATCTTCTGATATATAGAAGTGTTTGTTTGGACACAGTAAATGACCAGATTCCACGAATCGTTTCAGATTTTTGCTTACGGCAGGTTGCCCAGTGAGTGCAATAAATAAACACACTGAGTAAACTACCGTTAGCCAAAATCTGGAACGATTCATGGATTCTGACCTCCTAGTATCCAAGCGGGCACTTCTATATATCAGAACATGCGTCGTGCAGAGCTGAGTCAAATGGTGCCCTTGAATACAGAATTCTTCCACTCTGAAGCAAAAATATTCTCCGCGCTAGGTGATGTTACATGAATCGGGCAGTTGTGCGTCTTTTTTTTTCAAAAAATACCAGTAGCATTATTTCTCAATCATCAAAACTTTGTTTGACGGTATAATGACATACGTATATCCTATGAAAAGACTGGGAAGCATTTGTTTGTCATTCAAGTGAAACTCACCTCTATATTCTTCTGGCTCACTCGACTGATGGCTGCAGATATGGCTGAAAAGAGAATGATAAAAAAAGGCAAGCCGGGCACATATGAGCACTACCAAGCTCTTTTTACCTTTTCATAACGGACTTTACTTGTTCTACAAGTAGCCTTATCAAATTCGATAATGTTTGCATACAAAAATTCTTTTCGAACAAGATCGAGTTTTTTGATATCAAGGTGCGAGATTTTTAACAGCAAAAACTACTATTAGCATTTGTAGGGAGGATTGTTTTTATGAAAGTTCCGCGCCAATATTTGGGACTGAAAATAGATATCGAAAAGGAAGCACCTCTTTTCATTTTCATTTTCATTCAATACGCTCAAGACGCTTCGTATAAAAAAACAATGAAATGTTAGTCACACAGTGAACACAACTGAAACGAATTTATAAAGTCATAATGTACCTTAGCCAATACCGACAGGAGGCTGAAGTATAATGTTACATTCTGCATGAAAGACTGCATACATGACTGCAAGCCAAGAATGAATTTTTGTTTCTAAGGAAGTGGTCACATGTCCCCTCGTTTGCCAGCAAACGATCTTAAGAGTATTTGAAGGAGCAAACCGTAGGGTTATGAAACTTAGTTATTTGCATTTTATTCTTGCCTGCTATTATAGGTTCTTGGTTACTTGTTATTATCTATCTCTTGAACATTTGTAGGTTTTTACCACTCCTCATTACTCGCATTGACATTATAAAAGTTCAAGCAAAAAGTGGTCAAACGATAACAGTGACATAACAAGTCACGTTCCATTTTTCACATCATAATACGTAATCAAAAAAGATCTACTTTTTAATAATAATTGAAATAATATTTAACAATCATAGATACGTCGCAGTCTCTGTAAATGCTCATGAGCGAAGAATATCAGCCGATGGGGATGCGAACCTTTCTCCCTACTGGTTCATACTGATTCTCAAAACCACGGCTGTTTGTAGAGAGTCGAGAATTTACAAATTTTTGAAGGGATTGAACCTCTACATCAAAAAAAAATCTGAGTACGTGTCAGCTTGCTTCATAAGTTCTGTCCGATTTCAAATTTTTAGTTCGAAACAACATAACTTTTTTCAAGAATAAACTTTTTCGATAATCTGTTTTTGTGCACTGGCTATCAAGGTGTAAGCATTGTGAAAAACCCTGGAAAAAGAAGCAAGAACTTAAGCGCTTCATATGAACTGCTTCAGAATTGTCTTCTTGACGTTGCAATGCTCCGTGATAAGAAATTTAAGGCGTACTAAGTAACCATCGGCAGATGGAGAAAATTTCGAAGATTGTTTTATGACCAAAAAGAATTCTTAGAGCATTTGATGCTGTGAGATTTGCTTGACATATAAAGAAGCCGTTTTAGTGTAGGCACCAGTGGCGGTCCGAGGGGAGGGGGGCGGTTTATTTTTGTAAATAATTAAAATAATTTTTAAAATTTTTTAAAAATTCAAATTAGCCTTATAAAAAAATTTTCTTCGGGGGCGTGGCGTCACCCAGGCCCCCTTTTTCTAGATTTTAGGGGTTGGGGACCCGCAAAAATTTTGGGAAGTACTCCTAAAATTTTTTCGGAGTGCTTGGCTAACGCCACGCACCTTCATTTGAAAAAATTTTTTCCGCGTTCTCCCCCCCCCCCCCCCCCGGTCCGAAATCCTGGGACCGCCACTCGTAGGCACATATGCATATTTTCAAATGTTTACGATTTTGCTTATTTTGTTCGAATATTCTCATATGCAACTCTCCCAATTGTCACAACAGGTTTACTTGATGAATAAGCTCTGCTAGCTCTTGTTCTACAGCACCTCCAATTTTAGACTAATCGTCTCTATTTACAAAAACTATTGCTTGTAGAACATTTGAATAAATACAGGGCTCGGCACTGCTGGCACCAGGTCAGGTTGGATATCGTTTTTGGAGCGGAAAGCAAAAAGGATGTCGTCTTTGCAGGTTAGCATGCCCTTTTTTCTAGAATGCAAGCGACCGGCAGCCGGTGACTGCTTAGTCTTTATAGATACCTTTGTTTATTACCACGCCGCCAATACGCCAGTCGCATGCTGACGGCAGCCGGGTGTGTAGTCGACATGCCGGTGCTATCTAGATAACACAGCACACGGGAATTTGAATTTTCTGCCCCAAACAAACAAAAGCCTTGTTTACAAATGGAACGCAATCGTATGATACCAAATTTGATGCAAAAATTGTATTTAAACAGTAAAGTTCATATACAGAGTAAATAGAGTTCGTAATGTTTTTTCGGCCTAAGCCTAAGGTTAAGCCTAAGCCATCTGACTTCTGGGTACGGGTCAGGAGTCAAGATTTTTCGCGAGGGAAGCAGTAGCATTTGTCGTTCTTGTATTCTTGTATGTGTTCTTCGTATTGTTGTATTTGTTTTGCTTCAGACATTTTCTGGGGACTCCGAACACTTCTATGGTAGCAGCTCACAATGAGCTCGTCGGAAGATATATCGACGACCAAATCCGCTTGCTCATCTAATCGCCCCATGACTTTCTAATCAGCTGTCTTCTTCTTCCTCATGTGGTAGAATGCCGGCCTAAGTAATCTTTTCTTTTTACGTTTTTCTACTTTGATGAGTAGCCTTCTCAGAGAGTTTCCATGGAACAGGATCGATAGCCCGCTGCCCACAGTTGCTGACTTTGGAAGTTTATTGAGGGATTGTGGGGAGCCTGGATGTTATACTTCACGGCGGTGAGTTAGATGTTTTATTTTTGTGTTCTCTTCGTTTCCTTGGGAGCGAGAGGGGATCACGCTGCATAGGTTCGCGAGACAGCATCGCCTGGGCTCGGCACCTCTGCGGATGAAAATAATCTGAGATCATGCTCGCGACGAGGCGCAGAGCCTGGGCGATGTTTAGCCTAAGGTAAACCATTGATTACATACTACATTAGCTTGACCTTTTTTGGCTGAAAAAAGTGTAATTGAATTACTTGAAAAGCTTAGAAAACTTGTGAAATATTGTTCACTGAAATCAGCATGCATGATAACCTATTACATACTTTTACGGAATCTAAAAATGATGACGAGCCTTCAAAACAGGCCAAAGGGGACTTCGTACAAAATTTCCAAGATCAAAGGGGACTTCGTTTGAAATTTTCCCTGATGCCAGCTTGTGCCGAGCCCTGCATAAATAGCTAGACCTCGAGTTTTGCATGAAAGCGAATTTGTGCATATACCAGCCTCCCTCAATCAATGGCCAATGCAAGGACTCCACTGAGGGGGGTATTGACAAGATTTTTTTGCAAAAACAATTTCTTTAGTGAGAACAGTATCTTGGCCATCTGAATTAGGCCTGTAATCTCGCTAGATTTACGATTTTATTGAAAACTGATCTGTCTCTGAAAGAGCAAGGAAGGCGCTTTCTAATGATATAAATGAGATTGCAATAAGGGTAAAAACCTCATGAAATAGCTCCAAACACAAGGCAACAAAAATTGGAGAGAAGTTATGCAGCAAGCTAGTACATGGCATGTTACTTTTTAAGAAAAAAATTGCTGAATAGAGCTGTATACGGTTAGGAGATTAAAACTGTGTTGAAAATGCAGAAACATGAGGCGCATACATAGATGACCGAGAATCGCAAATGGCCTGAACTTGATATTGCAAAATATTAATAAAATAATACACTGATTACGAAAATCATATTCAATTTGCAAGACTGCGTTTTTGGTAAAATCACAGTAATTTTTTCAATTTGACACAAATGAATACTATTGTCGTGTTTAGCTGTAGAATTACTTTATAATGCAAGGTTTCAGCAAATTTTGATATTTGTTCATTAGTTATTGACAGATGTTAGCATCAATTTTGCGTTCAGTTGCGCCCTCAACTTCACGAGGGCGCCAAATCTTGAGTAGTCTCCAATTACCATTACTTTTCTATAGAGCTGAAAGAGCCAATCTCTGACAATAATTTTGCGATAGTTCTGTTTTGATATGATTAACTTAGGCTCTATCATTGCTTGTAATTCGGTGGATTTTGAAGTTTCAGTAGTTTTGGAAAAATGCTTGAATTTTTTCTATTTCTTTATCAAAAATCAAAACTTTTGCAAATGCTTCTAGCACCTGATGCATTCTGCATAATGCCAGAATTGCGCCATATTCAAAAAGGGAAAAGTTATAAAGGAAGTTGCAAAAATTAGTTAACAGCCTAGTAATTACGAGCATGGCACTAATGTATTTTTCACTTTTGCTTCGTCAATAGCCCCATGCCATTTTATTTTTTTCTCACTGTGTAGTAATGTTGTTGTCATTCAAGCGTTTGAATTATCAAACTCAAACTCACATCTATCCTCGGATGCCAGCGAGTTGGTACGTTTGGGCATATGCCATGACCCCGTGCTCGAACTCGGTGTTAACGCTAAAAAAGTAATTATATGTATTTGCATCCATCAGTTGATCTTCCTCCGAACCAACTTTTGTATCTTTATCAGTAATATCTTTGAGGAATGTTTTATTTGCCAAATTTTGGAACCGCTAATCAAATAAATTTAGCAAACGATCCCCGCGCACTGAAGATAAACTCAAGCAAAGAAAAGATAGCTTGGCTTTGGTTTATTCTTAACAGCGACAAAGAAACTCTCCACTCAAGAAAGGCTGACGTCTCACGCGATAATCCTATCAAGAGACTTGCTTTGAATGAATAGTAATGACCCATTAGTGGAGTATTAAAAAGAGCAAACTACGCAACCATTAGACATAGATCATCATCTCCGAGATCTTTCTTTGGTGACTAACAGCAGGTCACATTCGAATCACTTCTTCACATACTCGTAATTACTGGTACTCATCCTCAAAACTAGTCAGAATCTAGAGATGAAGCCAGCACAGAGGAGATTCCAAATGTGTCATAAAGCTTATAAATCACTCATTGTCAGCTTATTTTATGCGGTTATATAGACAGGATCTAGCCTACTCAACTTTTGAGTAGCAATTGTCGGTTGTTTAGAACGCATATTATGAAGCGAACCAATGATTCAAACTGTTTTGTTAGATAAATGTTAGGCAGACAAAGCACTCATCAGTTGCTGAATTCATTGCCCTGCAAACGTTCTGCACTTGATAATCACATATAGGGGAGAAGACGAGGAAGCTTTGAACATGAAACACCGTATCTAGTTAGGATTGCGTAAGCGACAAGGATAATAGTAGGTTGGCACATAATTTTACAAATTTGTAGCTTTTCTCCTTTTGAATGTGACGCATTCATTTTGGGCGTAATGTAGATTGGGTAGTAGGCTACAAATGTGTTTGAAAAGTTTGCTTTTGGTAGCGAAGTGGAAAAACTTTACGCATTTTTCGAAGCACGTCAAATACGAAATTTGTTAAAAGAAAAATAAAGCCTTCTCGAAACGCATGATCAATAGGGAGTCCAATGACGACAATCTGGGTACAGTATCGGCTTGATCTGTTTTCAGACTGAGAACGGCTTTATTTTGGATTTTTCGGTCCTTAATTTCGAATCTAACCCGCTTCCGAAAAATGCGTAAATTTTCTGTACTACCGAAAATCAAACTGTTTGCGCATATTGTGCTATATGATGCTAAGCTTTCCAAAATTGATAGTTCCTTCCTTTATTGTCAGTGCAGTCAACGATCGGTACGGGCTACGTTTCGGGCTTAACATCATATAACATAATTGACACTATGCCAAGATTCAGAAATAGTTTAGGGCTCAGTACAGATGGCTTACGGAGCAGGCTGGACTCATTTGGGCCAATATGCAAAGGGGATATCGTTTTTGCGGAGTAGAGTGGAGCCCGCAAAAAGCATACATCAGCTTAGTATAGTGTGTATGAAAAGATTGCCAGTTGATTCGTACGAAATCGGAGTCTCAAAATTGCTAAAGAAAATTCAAATTTTTTGTCACGCAAGGAATCCAGTATCGGATTTTTTAGAAATTTTTGGAAATTAGGTAAAAAAATTTCGAAAATTCGGACAAGTTCATGACCATCAAATCAACATATTATTTTTGCGGCCTTCCCCCTGACAAATAGAACTTATACACGTGAGTCATACACATACATACTCCAAAATTTCTTCCCCCTCCCTCTTCCAATCCCCTTATCACAACTTCCCGCTCCAATATGCTCTTCGTGTGAGCGCGGGAATTCAAAAATGTGTCCTGTAACGAACAAAAGGCCTGTCTACGACGGGGAGGGTAAGATACAACGAAACTGGTGTGTAGATGCGTAGTAGAGAGTTGAAAATGTATAGAAAAAATTGTGAAAACTTTTGGGAGCCGAAAGCGTGGCAAACATTTTTCGGAGTTAAGTGGCTTTCCAGCCACCTAGACAACCACGTGAGGTGGCTGTCAAAAGGAAAAGTCATAAATTGTTCCTTCCTCACAAAATTCCTTCATTCTTTTCACATAATTTTGATCTACGTCCAAACCCCTACAATGAGTTTCTGAACATCCTCAAGCTCCTCCTCCTGGCGTAGTTACAGCCCTCCGAATACTTTGCATGGCAGCGGTAAGCCTACTCCAAGCGATCGAGGCAGACTCAGCACGCCGCCTGATCGGAGAATAAGAACATCACTGATTTTTTTCTCCGTCATTGCAAGTTGTTTTGTGTTCTATCTATTCTTCCTTATTCTTTCATTCGATTCATTCATAAGCGTGTCGCAAGGGATGCCGTATTTTTATGATGAAGTCTACGGGAACTTCGCTTCCAAAAAAAATCAAAGAAGCCACCTCGTGACGAGCCCTGTTCTACACTATACCCATCAATGCGTCACAGTAGAAAAGAGGAAAGTTACGAAATCAGTTGCAAAACTTATGCGCCAACCATATATAAGAAATCCAATGAGCCTTCGAAATGAGTGTTGGGAACTTCGCCGGTATCTAGACTTACAGTGATGTTTTGCTATTGGTTACAAACGATCTCTAAATGTGTCAGCAAAATTCTCTTCGCTTCCCGCAAATTCATGATCTATAGAAATAATAAGTCATTGCAACGAAGAATACGAAGTCCTGGGAAGAATGAGTCAACTCTGGAGTTCTTGGACTCATTCTTTTTCTACCTAATGAAACAGTGCAAGTGAGTATCACTTACATTTTCTAGCACAGCTCAAGTCAGCGTCAAGGCTTGTTGTTGTGCGGCCTTGTTCGAGCATCACAGCTCGTTGCACCGGCCGAACTTTAGCCGAACTAGCTCGGGTCACAGCCGATCCCATTATTACGACATCGTTTGAAGCTGTAATTGCTCTGTAACTGCGGTGAGAGACAATGGAACAAGCGTGGATGAAGTGGATGGATGGAGGGAAACTGGTAGGTAGAAAAAATTGAGTCAACTTTGTCAAATACTTCATGTGAACAGATAGCGCTGTCGCTTCACTTACACGGACAACTGGGTACGGGCTATGTGCTGTGGTCTGCAGTTCGTGACGGATGTTCGCACATGAGAAGGCTATCAGCGACATAGCGTCTTTCGAGACTGTGCTTCTACAGCCATCGTTTTGTTCGTCTTACAGATATCAGAGTGAAAGAAATGAACTTTTATGTAAGCTCGAGGTTGAAAATAGAGTTGATGGGGAAAGCCAAAACAACGCTGAGCAAATCACTGGCTCACTTGAAGCACAGCCAAGTTGACGTCAATCTAACCTTTTCGCGATCCTACTTGGATGCTTGGATATAAACGACTGCTGGAAAGGCATAGCGGAAGCCATACTTCGTCATGTGTGTTTGCACACTATGCGCGGCATTTCGCGGCTCTTTGTTTCCAAACAGTGTTTGAATCCTAGTAATTATCAACGTACTAAAAAAGGATTTATTTACATCTGTTCTCGCATACTCAGACAACTGGCCGGAACCCGCAGGACGTTTAAAAAAGTTTCGCCGGGTCACCTGCGCAAGTTCCGTAAGCGTAGTGCGGAAGTTCCCAGATGAGGTGCTACGGAAGTTTCGAAGAATGCGAGCCACAACAGCAAAGAGAATGCCTAAGCGAGATTTGAACCTCGCTGTATTGACTGCAAAACTTACTTACTATCCTCTGCGTTACGGATGAAAACCTACGGAAGTCTCAGGTCGAAGTGCTGGAACCGCTGGCATTTTTGGAACTTCCGCAGCGCTTTGTAAAAAATCCTGTGGAAGTTTCCCTTTTTAACCAGTGTGACGTGAAAATCCTGCGCAAGTTCCAATTTTCATCATTTTCACCTTTGCAATAGTGCACAAAATCCTGCAAAACAGCTGCAAATTTTGCATGTGCTGCGGAAGTTCTGGTAAATTGTCTGAATAGGAGTTCCTGAGGAAGTTGCACAAAATAAAAGTCGTGCAAAGTTGCACAATATAAAAGTCGTGCAATGCCGAGCATAGTGTGCAGTACACATATCGAGTTGTAAATAACACACTGTAAACCATGAATTGCTTTGATTTTAAGATAATATGATAGACCCCTTTCGCCCTTCTACAAAATTATAGATCAAAATTCCTTTTACTGACTTCATGGTCAGAGCAAGCTTTCTAACTTGAATTGTATAGGAAAAATAAAATGGTTAAAGAAAAGTATAATAAATGAAAACTGCTCCTAGCACAACATAAATTTGTACAGGTCTGAGTAAACGTACCTACCATTACGTTTCCGGTCAACAGTTATAGTGAGAAATGGTTACAAACCAATGAAAGAAATACTAAAAGTTTCGTAGCACAGCCCAACTATAAGGATTGAGTGCGACAGACCGGAAAGCCAGTCTAGGTAGCATTTACTTCAGCTAGTTCCACTGGTGAGTCACCAAATATTAGCTAGCAAGGAAAGAAATACGTCTAATCATTTGAACTGAAACTACTTGGTAAGGCTCTGGTCAATACTGAAATTTATGTTCTATTGGAGTACAGTGGGAAATCTGTAGGATTTTAATTACAAATTCTGGAGATCTAGTGAATTATAACATTTGAACTCTCCTAGGCAACAAATTACGTAGTTTCATTAGTTTCAATGCACTTTCACATTGAATGCTGCAACAATAGTGCAATTATGTGATAAATTTGATTAAGGTCAAGAATAGTTACTGACACTAGGTGTTACGAACTGTACAGGTGCAAATTCTGTAAAGGACAACAAGATTGGGATAAAAGAAAGGGCATAGGGACTTTTCGCTTGGTGGTACACTACAAACGGGCATTTGAAAGACTACAAACATATCTAAATATCCATTCACTTTTTTCGTTGGTAATTTTCAAAAAACCTCAATTTTGTGGTAATTCTATTCAGATTCCTAAAAGTACGTAGAATAGTCTTGCCGTTACTTTATTGAATAAGTAAGAATTGTATGGTTTGCTAAATGACTGATTATGAAGCGGTCGGGTAAAGAAACTCTGGGACCACATCTTCTTCCAATTTTGAACTTTCAGAAAACCGTCTTAGTTTTCCTGTCTTTACGTAAGAAAAGTTCATTCAAAAGCATTCATTGCAATTCTGATTCTAAAGCTGCATCCCCCAGCTCGTTTTTGCACTTCTGCTAAAGTATTATTGTACTCTAACAATTGCTTTTCACATTATGCTGGCACAAGTGCAGTAAAGCTTACTTTACGCTTTGCAAAAAAAAGTGAAAAAGGCGAAAAGTCTTTTTTATTGCGAAAATGCACTTCAAAAAAGGTAATATTAAATGCGTATATGTGCAAATTTTGTACAAGTTTTGACTGCAGTTGTGTTCAAAGCCTACGAAGAATTTTTTGGAAGAAATGGTGAAAGTGAATAAAAAAATTTTTTTTCTTTAAGCAGAGTTACTCAATGGATCGTGGAAAGATTTTAAAGTAGAAACAAACGGCTTGGTCTGGTTTAGAGTAGTCCCAGTTGTGGACCATCACCAGCTCTAAGATTGCATAATTCTAGTGAAAGTGCATTGAACAGCCTTACAAAAGTCCTTCTTGGTAAACCTATAGTGGTCCATCCTTGATATTTTTTCTTATTTCACAGCTAAATAGAGTGCAAACAATTTTTTGGTATTGTCGTCCAAATATCGATTGAAGGGCAATTAAAATATGTTTTACACTATGAAAGCTGCGTACAAAAGATACAACAGATAAGAAGGGACCGTTTACCTGGTGTAGATTTGTCCGAGTTCGATTTGCTTCTTAAACATGCAAAACATTGATATTCCTTGAGAAGCGATTTTAGTTTCATTTGCGCTTGTACACTCAAAAACATTACTTATCTGGAAAACTTTCTCAACTCAAAAAGGCAGTAATCAAATATTTAGAAGAACTCATGTTGAATAGTGTTAGATCCAGAATTTAGATCATAGAGACAGTTGGATACGAGAAGTATGAAAAAAACTCTCTAGATTCTAAGGTTGGAACATAAGTCTTGCAAAGAACTTTTTGAGATCCTCTATTTCCTTTCTCTTCAGATCTAGCGAATCCGTTTTAAACGATAAAATTTACAGAGGGAAGTCAAGAAAGGTTATTGTAGCAACATGAACTAATAAAGAAGAGCACACAAGTTATATTTTCTTCAATAACGGCCTCTAAAAATGGTGCAAGGTCCGGAGATTTTGATTTCACTTTTAGCTTTGATTTTACGATCACTTTTAAAGTAAAAAAGAACTAGTTCATGGAACGAGTTAATGAAAAGACAGGCAACAGATTGAAACTGTTTCCTATTTAGGATCTCTGATGCAAAAGCTTTACAATTAGTAATGAATAGTTGCACAGTTGTAGATGTTAAATTTTTCATTTTTGGACTCTGGACAAGGTAAAGGTTCTATTCAATTTCACTTTTGGTTCCGGTTTCATGACCTCCTTTCCTAACTAACAATAAATTCGTAGATTTTTCAAGTAGTTCATGGAATGATAGTGTACAAATCAAAATAGATTTCCAACTGTAAGCATTTCTAAGCCAAGAATTTGTAGTGGAAGAATTATGTTGCAGCTTAATAGTGAAAAATGATTGTATGAGTGCAAAAAAATTTTTTTCTTGAATTTCAGTCTCTAAAAATGATAAAAGTTCAAGAAATATTGGTTTCACTTTTGATATGGTTCTTCTGCTTTCTTGACTAATAATGAAGTAAACTGGTAAAATTTACCAAATGATCAATGGAAAGATAGTGAATCAAAACAGTCTTCCAAGCATTTTCAAACATTTTGCAGAATTTGTGGTGCAAGACTTATACTCCAACCTGTAGTGAAAAGTTACTGAGTTATGTGAGTGCAAACTTCTGTAAATGTCACCAGCCCAACCTCAAAACAGATAAATCTTGAATGAGGCACGTCACATAGGGTGTGTACGTCAATGGACAGCATAACAAAAAATGCTGGACACAATAATAGCCCCTGAGGGCGGTACGATTAGCCACTGGCACAATTATACCTATAGCCAATATCAACTGCAACATTTTCCGATGAATCCACAGTGATAATAATGGGCTTGGCTGGCACATCTCGGCCGGGTTTTTCTCCTCCTTGAACGATGGGGCAATTGTTACGAGACGAGAGAGGTGTTACTATGGTGACAAAGCAGCACAACCAACTACACACGAGAACATACGGAGATCATTAGTGTGCAGCAATGCGGGGGGGGGGGGGTGAATGGGGAGTTAGCGGTGGGGTGCCAGAACTTTGGTGAATAGTAAATGCAAGAGCAACAACCGGGCAAAGGGTCAGCGTTGCCATTGCCTGGCAACTTCGGCGCTGCCAAGAGTGGACTTTACAGGATGTACTAGGATACTTTATGGGGCAAAGAACATTTTGACTTGGGCGAGACACTACTGAATAAGTAAAGACAGCTATTTTTTTCAAAAAAAGCTTGAAATTCTGGTAAAACTAGTTGTCTGCCAAAAGTATACAATTTGTTGAAAGTGGTTGACTTGGCATCTCAGGAAGTATTAGAATTACTACAAAGGTAAAAGGCTGATAGACTATATATGACTATATAGGTATAGGCTGAACGAGCATAATATATTCTAACATGCATCCAATTGGAGCATGTAAACATTTTTCTTTCTTAAGAAACCTACATTTCTAAGTGTCAGATCACTTTCCGTTTACCTTAATATTATATTTTTGCACACAAATCACATTTCATTTTCCCAGCCATATCGTATAAATTAAATGTAGAATTTGAAAAGTCAAAAAGTTTTCACTAAAAAAATGGTAAAGTGGTTTGACTTCTAGTAAAGGATGATTTCAATGAAATGAATTCTAGTGACAAATTAAAAGTTTGACAGCTGAAGCACAAACTTAGACACTTTTTTGGAGAGTTGCCACCTTACTAAACACATAATAGAGCAGTAGTGAACAACCGGGTAGACAACGGAAGTCTAGGTGGACCTTCAGCACAGAAAAGCAAAACAATTTTGAGTAAAAAAATCTTACTGCTATTCGACAAAACGAGAAAAGAAAAGTCTCGAGACTCACAAAAACTACTAAACCTACAGCTATCGATCGAGAGTTCCCGAAAGAAAGGTTCCAGAATGTTACATGGTACATATGGGAGATTAGGCTGCTCTAGTTGAAGTACCAATAGGTAGTGCTGTAAGAAAATGAATTTTTTGATTTTTGATTGTCAACTCAGAAAAAATCTGATAGTGAGCTAGGGGATCTGATAGGGGAGAATGCGATAGGAGCTGATGAGTCAACACAAAATCAGTTTTGCGAACTACTCCTTTGTGAATAAATAGAGCGTTGAAACCGTCGCTGTTGATTATTATAGTTATTATCTTCATGTGTAACCTACCCAACAACTACTAGGAACAGAAGATTCTAGAATTTGTTACTGCTGACAAACCAATGAGAAAACGAATAAGAATGAGAGTGTTTGAGAGGAAAATGTAAAGGAAGCCCATGACTAGATTAAGGGAAACTAAAAACTGAGTACATACTATCAAACTCGTAGCTTTAGTAGTAAATTGAGCACGAGTCATGTTACAGAACAATTTGTAATTCAATCCGGAAAAGAATTTTACTGCATATTTCGTGAATGACTAACCTTGCCACTAATAGCTTAGAAGGTATAACAAGAGAGCCTAAAAGGCTCGTCGCGAAAGGTTTCCGTAAACATCGCTTCCATTCATAGGCCAAGCTGTTTTTGAAAGGCCACAAGGACACAGTAGTAGTATAGCAAGAATTATATACTTTTTTTCTATTTAAGGTGCAGCAGTGACATTTGTCCGCAGTGCAATGCTTCATAAATCAAGCTTATTTTCACACAAATTTAGCAATTTTTAGTCACTGAGAGTTACAATGGGCGCATTGTAAAATACCGAATTTTTTACAGCTCACTACATTTTCAATACAAACAAAAATCCCTAATTCCATGGGACTTATTTTATACCTATTTTATACCCTTTGATTCAACTGGATTGGCTGATGGAAGGCGGGGCTCCGTGACTTAGTTAAGGCTAAAAAGTGCTTACAATTAGAAAGCACTTCCGCGAGAGAGACGCAGACTGCGTACGGGTGCGAGAGGTCGCCCTCCAGCCGCCAATCTCGTTGAATCGAGGGTACTTGTCTTTTACACATACTCATTTTTTACGTCTTGCCTTTTCTCTTTGTAAATCAATTTCACCTCGCAAAGTGTTCCATATGGTGCTACAGAAATATGATACCTATGCAGTTATAAATCACGTAATACGCTTGACGTAATAACAGTAAAGCAAAATGTGCACGCTCATATCAGCCGCTATAACCAGTTGATTAATTTTGAACACGCAGAGCTGCAAATGCAGCTCTAATTGGCATGCTACAATTTAACGTCAGCGTGCTAGGAAGCGTGCTCACCGTTGGAGTCATCATGCCTGCGTACAATTTGGTCGTCTGACTTCATGCGATCCATGGTTACGAGGCAAGTTGCATCCTAGAAAGGCAATAAGGAAATTTACAGTTACAGAAATTTTTGAGGGTGATTTTAAGTATGGAAGGACATGGTTAGTAGGGCCAATCGAAAATTAATGCGATTCTTCTAAAATCAACGAAAGCTTAAGTATTATAATTTTTTCAAACAAAGAGTATCGTCAGCAACGCTCTCCATTTTCAAAATGAGAAAAATGTCAAAAAAACTGAATTACATTTAACATAAGAAATTGTGAAAATGTGCGTACAGTGCTGTTTTTTAATTGCAATTTTTTAGTTTTACCTAGTCTACCAAACCCAAGGTGATCCAAGCAGTTATGAACAGAATGTGTTTTAGAACTTGCATTGAACTACTTTACCTTTCCATTCTCCCATGGCAGTGTTTTATCTGGCTTCAGTGCCATGTAGGCCTTAGTCACTCCAGCTACCATACTTAGTGGCGATATAGGCCTAAAAACAGAGCATTACGAAGTGTATAATATGGTGAGTTTAACGGACGTTCCACGTACCTATTGGGTACCTCCCCAGCATGCAAAATCCAATTCAAGTCCAGATTGTCGTCGTCCGTCAGCTCTGACTCTGTCACATTGAAGGAAGAGTCGGTCACAGGTGGCGTAGAGTACTCGATCAAGCCATCATATCTTATTCGAGGTAGAGTTTGACGACGAAGACGAGCCTCAAAATTTTGGAGTCAGGTTAGCCTCTTTATAGTGAATGGAAATTGAACGCATATTAGAAGTATCTTGTACTCTTGATATATATGTACGTATGTCCAAACTTTTGTACGATCTTAGAAATTACGATGGGCGTGTAATCAAAGCTATACAATATTGCAGACGTGTTATGAGATGACTAAAGTATCAACATCCTGTTTTTCACGTCTTTGCGAATTTTGTGGTATGGATAAACAGATCTCAGCGCTAGCATAATGGCACACTAGCTTATGATAAAAAATGTCTTTTCTAGTTAACAGTTGTTAATTCATGTAAGCTGGTAAAATATTAGGTTGGACCGAAAGTTTGTTCGCAGCAATTTCAAAAAATCATAACTTCTGGTTTTCAAAACGGATTTGCATGTTTCTATTTTTATCTGAAAGAGCAATTCATTCTCTTCATAGCGATGCCTTATAGGCGTTTTAATAAGCATGCATTGCATAGATATAAGCGGTAGAATATAATTAAACAAATTTTCGATTTTCTGTGTTGGGTCATAAAAAATCGGAAACTTGCCACAAAAATCGGAGCACTCGGTAATGTAGCTTCTTTCAGAAGCTCTTTCTAATATTGCAAAGTTTTCGCCGATTGAGCGTCTCTATGAAAAGTTATGATTTCCCTGAAAAATGCCAAAATAAATCAAATTCGCCCTTTTGTATTGCTCGCTCGAAAACCTTAACTTTTCATGGAGACGCTCAATCGGCGCAAACTTTGCACTGTTAGAAAAAGCTTCTGAAAGAACCTACAATACCGACTGCTCCGATTTTTGTGGCAAGTTTCAGATTTTTTATGACCCAACACAGAAAATCGAAAATTTGAGCAATTTTCTTCTACCGCTTATATCTATGCAATGTATGCTCTTTTGAACCTCTCTAAGGCAAAGCCATGAAGAGAATGAATTGCTCTTTCAGATAGAAATAAAATCATGCAAATCCATTTTGCAATCGAGAAGTTATGAATTTTTGAAATTGGTGCGAACAAACTTTCGGTCCAACCTAATAGAGTCATTGTCCAACCTCGTTGGATTAAAGGTAGTTTAGCTACCTACTTCCCAAGCCCAAAGTATAGAATCTGCAAGTAAGGGTAGTTTAATGTAAGCACTGTTCGAACATAAACAAAAACAGTGACTGAAACTATGCAAAGATTTATGCTTTCAGGTGTGTTATTCAATCCCCTGCGAGAATTCATTTCATTAATTAAAACGTGGCGATTTTTTCATTATGCTATACTGCAATCTTATGTTTAAAAGGAAAAATGACTTGGAAATTTTCACTACTCATCTCCTCGCAGTCACCGCAGTGATGTGGAACGGAAACGTGAAAATCAGTTCGGCCAGAGTGTGAAGAAAATGAATAGAAAATATTATCTTGATGTCATACATAACACAGTTTTTTTAGAAAAATTAAAACTTACCCGCTGACAAAATCAGATCTACCACGGCAAAGTGGCTTCAAAGCTTATCTGTTCAATAGGTATATCTAGCACCTTTTTCGCTGATTTTTTGAAACATTGAGATCATAACAATCATACAATAGGGCCTTTGTTTTCTTTGCTTACAGTCAAAAATCTATTCAGGACCAGTTCGTTCCTACTTATGTAGTCAAACTTCTTTTGTAATTCGAAGCAGAATCTTACCGTGACTGCAGCAGAAAGACCAGTAATCGAATGTCGGACTTCCATATCTCTCACAGCTCTTAATAAAATGTCAACTTTCCCATTCATCAGGTAAGCGACAACAGATAGCTGTTCAAAAGCTGCTAGTCTGAAGTTTTGAATTTCACGCTGATGTTTACTCTGCAAAGTTTCTTCGCCATTACCTTACTCTTCTTTTTGGATCCAAGAGCAAAGGAACAAGTATGTTTACAACAACACTGAAGTTGATGCGGGATGCCGAGACGATCATCAGTGCTGATGTAAGAATGTTTATCACCTGAAATTGCCTCCACTTTATCAGTCACAATATTGAGATCCTGAATATAAGTAAGTTCAATTATCATAGTTACAGAAATCTAGGATATTCTGATTGCCTAACTATCATTAACAGCAGCTTTTTTTCGATTCAGCGAAAGTATTTCCGATACTCTCAGAGAGCGTCCTGATAGTATTTTGGATTACAAGCCCATGCTATTTCGCACTTTTGAGCACAGCTGCATATAGCAGTAGTCACTCAAAGAAGCAGGCTTTTTATAGGAGTAAAATGTGCTGATCAAAATGACTATCGAGGAGAGACCTTCTTTGTTCGTATTTTAATAGCTTTTTCATGTGCAACCTGGCTACAAAACAAGCTCCTCACTTAGACAGCATCTCGTTGTTTTGAGGCTCAATATTACTTATCTAGGATAATAGAAAGTGCTAATGCTGCGTACGTGTAGCTACTGCGCTAGAAACAGAGGGTTTGGAAATATAGCTATAGTCGTTTGCGGAATGAGGTGACGAGTGCAGTTTGTTTTTTTCTGCAAGTCGCTCAAAAAGAAACATGGATGAGCAATAACAGAATTAGAGAAATTGTAGCAACTTGCTGCATAAGTTCTGCCCGATTTGCATTTTTTATATTCAAAAAATCACAGCTTCTTCCAAAATTAAAGGATAATCTTAGCTTCGGTAGATCAAGCAATTTCTCGGCTATTAGATGGTTACTAAGACATAGAAAAACAGCATGGATTTAAAATTTTATAGTTTCCCTTTAGACCCATCTCTAAAATGCTGACAGGCATAAAAAGTTAGTTCCCTTCAATAGAGAAAATTTCGAGGATTATTCCAGAATGAGTCCACAGAGTTTTTGACGCCTACAGATTTTTTCAGCGACGAAAAAAAGTTGTCGCTGTGAGAGCCCCAGTGATTGTACTAAATTTATTTGTAGTTGTTTTTGCCGCGGGAGTATTTTTCCTTTCTCACAAATATGTTTGAGAAAGTAAAAAATCAAAAATAGTATTTGACATCTAGCCCTTGAACCTTTTGAAAGAAATCAGGCGATGCTCTCAATCCACAGCAAAAAAGTATGTAACAGATACCGTAACGATTTAGTGCTACCAAACAATTTTTCTAACAAAAGCGAACAATTTGTTTTGTGACAATTTCTCTTGTAATAGCATCCTAATTTTATGTAAGCGCAAACTCTACCTCTTCCCGCACTCTTGAGTTCCTGTGCTCCAAATAGACGCACAGCACGCCGACGACAGCTTTGGGATTCACATTTTGGAAGAGATCCATACAGGTCATCATGATCAGCTGCTTCACGACCGCTTTCTGATTGCCGAAGTGTTGCGCTATCAATGAGATCGTTTGCTGAAATATTTTGCTGATGCTGCTGGGTTCCTAGTCACAATCAACACGATACTAAAAGGAAGAAGTAGCTAAAATCAGAATTCAAATTCCAATTCATCTTTGCCGTGCAGCCGTGTTGCTTCATCGTATGTGCAGTTAACTTTTATGACAATTTTCAAGCATGCTAAAAATTTAAGTACAAATACTTTTGTTGCAGAAAAATTCTAGTGGAAGGTCCAGTTCATAATCTCTCACAAAGTCTTCTGAAAGGCTACCCCCTTCAAGTAAATCTGAAATGTTTAGTAATAATCAGGTTCATAATTTGCCTCACAGATTACGAACAACTATGAAGTGATTATCCTTCCGTCTTGAAGATTTCTATTATTGGTCGACATGCGAGTTTAGTAAACTTTAGGAATACAGTAGGATGAAACTTTGCAGTAATAACCTAACGACTTGAAGTGTTTTTCAGGTCATATAACCGTCAAGCTGTCTTTGTCTCTGATGATGCATCCGCTACTGCCGAAGGTTAATCAAGTAGGTAGAAGGAAAAAGAAATGTTTTTAAAAACACCTTTATGGGTTTTGCATCAAAATCTGTCAGACACTCAAAAAGCAATTGAAGTAGCGCGAAAGTCACAAGGTATGGTGTATCTTCTGCTTGCTTCATTAGAATCTATGCCAAAACTTTGTTTCCATTTCTAATTTCAGGGTGGGAAATCGTTTCAATAAATATAGTCTGGGCAATGAATATTGTAGCCGTTTTTGACAAAATGTGCAGAATAATGCGTTTATAGCATGTTGACAGAATTAACGATGTATATATCTTTCGTGCTCGTAAAAATTGTAAGATAAGATTACGACAAAGAGCACGCAATCCTGCCTATTATGCAGTACTATAATACATGTATCGAAAAAACTCCATGTAATCAATGCATCCAGTGGAGGTACGAGAAATTTCTTGGGGCGGGGCCGGATGAGGCGAAATTTTCCATGTAAAGGAGTTCAACGTAAGTTACTTCAAAAATCTCTTCTGATGCATTTCGAGTTTTCTACGGGTCCGTAACCTTGAAGTGAAGGAGGGCGTGACGGAAGTTACTTTTCCGAAAAAATATTCACCTGGTAATTAAACTTGTGAAAATTTCTGGCAGTTATTTGTCAATGGCACGCTTTTGTAACTCATGTAGGCTACTTTCAAAAAATTCGCGTCCAATTCTCGAGCGAGGTATGGGGAAAACCACGAAGCATTCATCTTTGCAAAGTTGAGCAATTTTCTTTATAGTCCGCGAACCCATTCAGGTCGTAGTCAACTTCCCTCATCATAGAGTAGTACCGCTTGTTTGGTGCTTTTATATCATTTTAAGGCCAGCATTAGAAAATGTTTACTGGATTTTCTATCTCGTTTTCGTTACAATAATCTTACACAGCAGTTTGAGCAACACATACCTGTAGATGAGCCTCCATGTTAGATTTGAGCCTGTTTACAGTAAGTCGGACTACATCGAGTGCAAGCACAACAACCTGAAAACACGGGATTATTTACATTTTAATTAGAGTGATTTTACTCACTTTGAAGTTGAGATCCGTAAGCACATTGTTGAGCGATATCAAATAGGAGTGTAAATGTGGAACAATGCGACTGATCTCTTCGTGAGTGATGTTCTCGATGACTTGCTTCCACTAGAAAAAAATTATAAGAAACAGATCTAATTCAAGGCCGTCTAACCTATGACGGGTTTTATACAAGCAAATGAAAAAGAAAAATTGTAAAGCTCCTTTGCTTATGCGATCTATCCTCTATGTCAAGTACGACTTTAATATCCGTTTAAGAAATTTTGATATAGAGAAAGTAAGACTATAAAATGCAGGCTACACTTCTTTACAAAATAAAGCTGCAGAAAAATATCATTTCTGATCATCATACGAATTCTGCTCCATTGCAAATTATTTAGGTTTCTAACCTTTTCCAACCCTCCAATCCTAGTAGCAGAATCAGCACTATCAAGTACCATTGTCGCTATGATTGAGGGAATAATCCCGAAGCGAAAACGTCGCTCTCCGGAAGCGAGCTTCATACTGCTTCGATTGAACGGTTGTGATGGTGCTAAATTAATAGGCTTCATAGATTTTTACATCTTTACATTGTAGCTTACCCGCTTGGGGTTCGGGAGCGACCACCATATTTTTGCTAAGACGAAGATAGTCCTTTTGTTGTTCAACAGAGAGATTGCTTAGCATCTGGTTGAAAACGTCTTTTCCAAGATATACTGAAAAAAATTTCACTGCCTCCATTTTTGTGATAATGCAATAAAACTATCATAGAAACAGATAAAAATGAAGTTTCCTATTCACTTCTTGTCTGCAATTATTCAAAAGGAGAAATATAAGTCTATCAAATTTAGTCAGACAGATATAAAATCTTGCGCGGATGTTTTTCAATGTGTGGCTACTTACTAGTTATAACTGTGCAATTAATCTCTTCTGTTTTGAATAGGAAACAATTACTAATGGGCAAACAACGAAGTAAATTTTCGAAAAATTGTCCCGTAAAAAGCTGTGGAGAATATACGGTGGGTTTTGTCTTCTTCTGAAGTCAATGTAAACGTCTACGTTTCCTAATAATCATGTCTATTTTTTGTTTACGCAGTTAGACCTGTAATCGATTCACAGAAAATTGATGCACAGGGCTCGGCACGAGGTGGCTTTTGAAAATGCAAAAAACGAAATCACCTTCAACTTTCGCGATTTTTTACAAAACGAAACGTCGAATAAAAAACTTCACAATTTTCGTGTATTTTCGGCCTCAAAAACGGAACCCCCTTTGCTTTTTGTCCCAAAAACGATATCCAGCTTGCTTACAAGCCACCTGTGCCGAGCCGTACTAATGCAATCCGGGTGACCGTTTTTGAGAATTGGCTAGTGGAATTCGATATAACTATGAAAGAAACAAAAAAGCAACAACTTTTGCTTAGAATAGCTGAGGTATCGCACTTAGTAGCCTCTTAGTATTATGAAGAGGAAGGATGTCTTCTGAAAAAGTCCGAGTTTTTGCAGTAGAACACCATCATACATTCTCTAATACTGTGGAAAATTGCTGTAGATTTTGTTGGAGGAATGCGAGAACTTGACACAAGCGGACTCTCAAGTTTAATTTTGTTTTGAGAAAAGTTGTGGATCACAGCTGGATCACCCTGGACGTTTCACGCATGCCCTTTGTATTTTGCAGATTTTATACCGGCCAAAAAGCATTGTGTATTATGACGAAATTGGAGTCCGCATTAGAGTTACTTAAGCTTGAGACTGACTTAAATGGCGGTAATTTCACTTCACACCTTATGTATTGTTTAAAGGTTAAACCAACAACTGTTGGCCGCTGTGGAAACATACTCAAGTTAGGTAAAGTCCCATCATGACTAGAAAACCGATTGAACCAACCTTCTAATTTCTTAGCCGCCAGTGCAGCACCTTCTGCAGATTCTGTTTCGGAAGTTGCCATGAGCTTTGTAAGAGAATCTAGCAATGTTGACCAGTCACATTGGGCAAGCTGAAAATTGCAGGTTAAACAAATTATCTCAAACATTATAGGCAAGCCCAACCTCGGGAATGTACATCACAGGAAATTCCTTTACCACTTCACTCTTAGTGACTCGTTCTGTAGAGGTCAATAAGAAGTTGGAAAGGGTTTTCTGGAATGGAAAGCAGTAAGAGGAAATTATTTTGAAGACAAAAGAACTTACCAGAACGGATCCAAGTGCATCGGGCTTCAGCCTCAAAAATGTCTGTATGGCTTGTATGGAAATCTTCCGCACAGTAATCTTTGAGCTTCCCAGCTTTGGCACCAGATTTGGCATCACATAGCAGATACAGTATTCGAGATTCTGTGATTACTTTTTTGAAGTAAATGAAGAAAGACAAATGACGAGGAAAAAGCCCCTCGATTTCGCGAATGAAGTTTAGTTTGTGCTTCCAGAAAGATATATTACAGTGCTTTTTTGAGTTCTCATTAAGAAACTTTCTGATTTACATTGTTTGATTTCCCATTGTCTTCCGACAAATGAGGCTCACACGCAATGAAAAAAAAAGTTGAAGAAAAAACAAAAGGTGAAAAAGTATTCAAGCACCTGCTGAGTTAACCAAAAAACCAGACTCTGAATGTTTGTACTTCTAAATATTATTTATAATGCACAGAATATGTTGAGAGATAGTGTGAAATAGGCAGTCTTTTCATTTGTTACGGAAATAGACAGTCTAAGTCCTTACCGATCCAAATGTAGCCATTGCTTCTTGTAAAAATTTGATACACTGATGTTGTATCTCCCATCGATCATCTGCGAGAATCCTGTCGATATTCTTGAAGAACTCTCCTTTTCTTGGAAAATTTGTAAACCACTCAGGATCACGCCGTGACAGAGCAGTAAGTCGATTGAATGTCTGTAAGCAAGTAATGACTCAATGACAATGAAAATTTGCCATATATTTGCCCCTAGGGTCAAACAATTTCTTTCACATTCTAGTGTAGCTTTTGACTTTGATTTTTATCTAGGATGTGATTCAGTTCTTTGGCGCAAGATCAGTGACTGCAAGGCTTCTGTTTGTTCTAATTTGTATTGCAGTCACGAGATAACGCGATTTTTCCCCTATATGAGAAAAACGAAGGGTAGCACGTGCTACCACCTTTACGCAATTTACACAAGGTTTGATGAAATAAAGCTAAAAACTACGGTCACCCATAGAAGATTTAAAGAGATGGTTGAGGGCTTACAGACCAGTTTAAAACAAATCAAATTTTTCATCACTTCTCTGGTTTTTACCCAGCTGGCAAGATCAGAGCGGGCAGCTACTTGTTGGCAAAAACTCGAAAGAGAACTTCGTCCAACTTTATGACGGAAACGAATAGCGTACAAATCTGGGGAGTTTTTTTATACTGTTAAAGAATGTTTAGATTTTCCCACTGATGGTCAAAGAATTATATTCATCAATTACTAAATTTACTCTTTATCTACGGTCTCATCTTAAGGATTGCATTTTGCAACAAAACTTGGCATAGGGAGTGAAGTGTGATAGCTTTTTTTCATACACTTAAGTTTTAACAACCTGCTTTTCTTTGACACACTTTTAGTGCATGTTCAAAAAAAATGAATTAAAATATACAAATAATCAAAAAGATGTATCAGATAAGTGTTTCCGGTTCAAATGCAAATGTGTATAAAACACATGTCAACACCAGTGGAAAAGTTTTTGTTAGCCACATATAACTCGATATCGTAAGTTTGTATGAATTTTACTGATTTTTCCTCCCCACTCTTTCATCTGCTCATTTCTTACTATCGTAGAAGAGTAGCGAGATGTTCATAATATTTGATTCGCAAATAAAAAGAGCTTCTTTTGCCTTGAAATGACATTACCACTGCATCGAGGTGATTGAGCGCTGCAGTCCTGGTACTGATTCCGACTCGTAGAATGAGCTTCCAAGTGCTAATCTTCGCACAGAAAGTACAAATTTATATTTAGAGTTGCACCTTGCACGCTATTTCTAACCTGAGCAGGAAAACGATTTTTTACGCTCTGATGCACTTTTTGCAAGATTCTGCCCTTGTTAGTTTTAAATGCCTAACTATAGCTTCAGTTCATTTCCGCTTGTAACAAAGTGATATATTTCTGTTTGCTCATGAATCCACTTTTGCAACTTTTCACAGCAGCCAGAGCGTTATTGAGAAAATTCGTGAACAGAATTTTGTAGCTGTGTTTACCATCAAAGAAAGAAGAATTTGACAGTTAGTTGGAAGAATAAAGCGAAGATGGGGCGGGGGAGGGGAGGGGAGGGGGAGGAGAGATCACCTGATTAAATGATATATGAAGTTTCTATTATAGCATACTTCTCAAAAACTAAAGCAGCTACGATATTTGCTCCTATTATCTCCCTTACCGTTCCACATTACCATACGCATTTTACAACATTGTCAGTGTTTATGGTAAGTGTGACATTCTGTGTTTACGACTCGTGCTGCAGACAAACTCTCAGTGAACCGGTGAAACCAGTCTTGAGAAGGAACTTCAAGCTTCTCCTTTTTAGCTCTCTCGAGAATGTTATCCAACCACTGATGCCGGAACTGCTACCACTGCTTTTCTCTACCCATACTGTAGGGCTTACCCCTGACGTAGGCCATCATTGCCGCTTTCAGGGCAATCATAACACTTTTTGATATCTATTAAAAGGTTCAAATGCTTGCGTTGTATGCAAATGCCGAGAAAACTGTGAAAATTGCTTTGCCCTAGGAAATAATCTACTTCCTTTTGCATGTCAAGAATAAGTCAACATAATGAGGGCGGCGTCGGTTCCACTTCGTGCCAGGGTGAATTTCCTTTGCGGAGTTTAGAGAAGTGGATTAGAGCAGATTTTTTAATTTGCTAACCTGTAGGCGAGTATCGAAGTCAGGACTGCGAAGAAGATCTGTGTGGTCATCTTCACGAGGCATAAAAGCTGGAGAAGGTAGACGATCGAAACGAAAACGGAGCGGATCCAGCAACGAATCCATTTCTGGAAATCGTCAAAGTAACATCATTACGTGAAGAAAATGCGAAATTATAGAAACGAATATCAAAGAAAAACCATACAACACAAATTAAACAGAGAAACAAAGAGAAACAGGTTTTCTTTAAAATTGCAAATGCCATATCATTCTTAGCAATGCTTTTTTTGGAAGATAGTGTGCTCTAAATGCTAATTCAAGTCCACATATAATAACAACAAAAGTCAAGGCACATCATGTGGGATTTGGCATCTAGGGCTAGTTGGAATAACAATGCTTCGCCTACGATTTTTGAAGGAGTTGTCAACAAGTCTACCTATGTATTAGAAAACGAATGCCTGTATATATGATATGTACGTAGAAAGACCATAAGATTCTGTTATTTTTTGAGGTTGTGAATCTCTCTAAAAAATGAAAAAATAGGACTAAGTGCAATTTGCGGAATGCACAGTATGAAAATAGGTACTAAAGAAAAGATCTGTTGCATTCTATTGGTCGTAACATAAATTTTGTTACACATGAAAAAAGAAACGTTCATAACTATCTCAAAAGTTTTTCAATTCCAAATTGACTTGATGGTTGTATCATCTCAATGTAATGTATAAATGTCACACATGAAAAAACCGATTTTTGAATTTTTAAAAGTTTTTCTGGGTTTTTTTGGCAAATTTCCAACTTGCGTTGTTGAAGAAGTTGTCAACATTGCATGGACTTCCAAACTGCTTCAGTATTGTATTGGTACTAAAGTTCCCAAAACCAGAAATCCATAAAAAATCTGAAAGCATAAAAAAATAAGAATGAGAGAACTTTTAGAGAAAAAAGAAATAAGTGGAAGTTCAAGTGCCGTCACAAAATTGCTTTTATTTTTGCTATGATGTCTATCTGTAAAGGTGAAAATGACACCAATGGATTGTCTTTTTCCATTGCTCATATGTGCCAAATGTTATACTTGGCTAAAGTTTCTAGAGTTTTCTAGAGGAAGTGAAAAAAGTGTCACAAAACTTATGTCAAGGCTTGATAGAAAGAACCCAAGCGAAAAAGTTGTGGATTTCAATCGGCGACATAACTAAAAAATGGGAGAAGTATGTTTCATTGCATACTGCATAAACTGCATTTTCATGAGAATTCTTCCATGAAGAGGCTCAAATTGAGTCTTATGATTTTTATTGAGCCAGTAAGAAATGACTGATTTTCAACAAGAGAGAAGAAGGCTGTTAATACTCCGTTTCGTTCTTTTCCTTAGACGAAGTAAAGAATCTCAGAACTCTCTGCGGAACCTTCAGTAAGGAAGGAGAGTCCATAAATCCTGTGTATATTTTGAAATAGTTATAAGAAAAAAATTTTCAATGATGTTAAATTAAAATTCAACGTCCTACAGTTTGTATGCTATGTAAGTTGCACTAAAAAGTGAATCAAGGATTGTAAACCATGAGAGAAGTAAAGTTAGTGGATTATTATTAGATAGTTAGCATTTGTTGATTTCTCACGACAGTTGATTGCGAGTGATGAAAGACTGAAGCCAAGTGACACCGGCGTGAGAATTTGCTTGATGTGTTCTACAGGATTCAGAACCATAGATTGCTATATCACATGCACACATCGTAATCTCTTCTGGGTTTTTCTGGAAACCGATGTCATAAGTTTATAATAGCTTTCTCTTTACTACAGATGTGGGAAAAACCCCTTCATGAAATATTATTCATGCAAAAAGCAGCTCATAAAATCTAAATTGGTGTTCTATTCTATGAATCGCTTTTCTTCTAAAAGCAACTTCGATGTAGCACCCCATGACAGTGGTTGACCAATCCAACCTCCCCCCTCCCCCTTCCCCCCCCCCCCGCGCAAGAATGGAACGCGAAATGAAAGCTACTTACATGGCTTACAAGAATGTGCAACTGAATTTCTTACACTTGTAAAGAGTTGAGCAATTTGCAAAATTTCTTTAAAATTCACATTAAGCTTATGAAGAGATTATTCGGGAGCGTGGCCACCTTCACCTCCCCCCCCCCTTTGTTTCCTAGAATTTAAGATCATGGGCCCGCAAAAATCTTGAGAAGAGTCGCAAAAAATCTTCAGAGCGCCACGCACCTTCATTTGAAAAATTTTTTTGTTGCCCTTCCCCCCTGACGGATGAGGCAGCCACTGCCCAATGACACTTGATTTATAGATCTATAAAATACTGATACTTTTGCAGAATGTCAAATTTTTTTCGGAAATAGTGCGTTCGTTTAGGAAAATTCTCAAAATATTAGCTGCAAAGATGCTCCAGTCTTTAGTTATGGCTTATCTGAACTGCAAAAAAGACAGCTGAGCAGCTTTTGAGAACGTTGGGAGAATAGAATTTTTGTGCTAAAATGCTCAGGTTTGGATTACCTTTCTGTACAAATTGGTTCATGATACTACCAGACACTGTCTATGACCAAAAATTTTCTTCAACAATTTTACAAGGGGAGAGGAAACTTGTTCCACTCCTCAAAACCAGTCAAGCGGCAAAGTTCGATACGAGTAGAAGTGTGAAAAAGGTTGTTGCACTCAGTGCTAGGCTACAAAATTCGTATCAATCCTTTTGTAGTTTCATAGAGATGGCGAGTACTCCACTTATCCAAGAATTTTTTCATTAGAGTAAAGTTGAATTCAAAGTGCTGAGATCTTATTCTTTTCTCGAACAAAGCGGCTAAAATGTAAGCACTTTGGGTCGTATAATTATTGAAAAATCCAAAATGATTAGAACTGCACATTAGCTCTTTTAGACTTTGAAATCTGGTCTCGCTTTTTCTCCTTGTCCGATAGACAGAAAACATATTCTTCTACTTCTCTATCAACAATTATAAGATCTTTGACACTTTCCAATTATTCAGCAGGTGAGAACCTAATCAAAGTTATATTCAACAGATTCTAATGCCAAATGATGTGAGATCAAGAACCATTGTTACAATATAGAGGTATAACAATGGATCCCATTTATGGATACAAAGGAAGGATTTCAGGATTAGGAGGGGTTATGCTAAACAAAGAAGGGTGATTGACGCTCAAAAGTGTGAGATTAGTGTCAAAAGTTATGGAGCAAGTGGAACAAGCATGGTGATCATAAAAATTTGATTTCAAAAGCTACAATAATCAAAAAATCATGTAAAATATTGCAGAAGAACGTCCAGTGCTTGTTCTCGAACAAACACACAACGGAAGTGTGTCTGCGAGAGAATCGGCGGACCGTCGTCGTCGGTGGCTGAGCGTCAGCAGATGGTCTCCATGACAACAACGGCGAGTTACCGCACCTCATCATGAAGCTCATACAATGAATACTATAGCTCAATGATCGCGTGTCCACGCTCCAGCAACGCTTCAAGAACACCTCGTTAACACAGAATGCTTGTGTTTTTAGGGCTCCTCCTCAGCACAACGAAGGTTGGGAAGAGGAGCGAAGAATTTATGGGAACCTATTATACAGGGTGTCCCAAAAGTAAGTACACACTTTCCAATCGCTAATATCTCCCTTGTCGTTGTGTCTTTTTCCACCGTTTAAGACCATTCTGTAGAGGAGGCTTCAACTTAGATTTGCAGTGTCGATATTATCACCGATCGCTCTTCGTTACGGTAGGATTACGATAAGAACTTCGACAAGAATTTTAGGCCATTGGAAGCAATATTCTGCCTCGGAACAAAACTAAACAATCCAAAAACTCTTGTTCTATGGTAATGGAAGCCGCTGATTTCGAATTTGAAAATTCCACTTTACTGTGATGCTTCTTTCCAAAGTTATCCCAGGTGAACCGTAGTAACCGAGTTCCCAGTACTTGTCAAAAATGTGATTACATCGTCAGAAAGCTGAAAACACTCGTTAAAAGTTGTGTAGTGGAATCAGCGTGCGCAAAAACCCTAGTACACGATTTTTCAGGTTTTTTGAAAAAAATTTTGTCAGATGGCATATTTCACAATGGTTACACATGCCGGAAGTTCTTACCGTAATTCTACCGTAACGAAGAGTGATCGGTGATTCGATCGACACCGTAAATCTAAGTTGAAGCCTCTTCTACACAATGGTTTCGATTGGCAAAAAAAACGACCCATTGAGAGAGATGTACTTGCTTTTGGGACACACTGTATATTGTGTCATTAATCGTTGGCTAAAAACCAGTGCTGCGCAATAACAAGCCCGCTTTGGCGGATATGGTGCAATTACACCATGCAAATCACATCCACGGTGATCTTACCTCCTCCGTCTTGAAAAATTGCAGTTGATATTTCCGTCTCGACGATTTCAAATGTGCATATGAAGTGTTGTGATAGCGCAGATCTTTCCTAGCAATGTTCTGTGAACTTAAATGCACATTTACTTCTATCAAACTAAGCCAAAAATCACTTCAGCTTCTGAAATATCTACTTGTAATCTTCGTCGCAAATTGCTTAACGAGACAAAAAATTGCAGCGTAATGAATTTGGGTGAAAAGGGGTCACATTTACGATAATACACTACCGGCGATCTGCTCAAGTTTTTTAGATATAAAATATCTTGATTGTTTTGGCCTTTTTGGCTTGAATTAAACAAATTCGATCTCTCACGAAATTCTTTATGCTCAGTCGCAAAGACATAGATGGTGTATACAAAAAAGGAAAATCTTTCTATTTTTCCATACCCAAAGCACCAACTTGCATGAGCGACTTGATCTTCAAAATCAAAGTACAAGTTTTATAGAATTAAAAGTTTGTACTCTCTGCTAAAGCGTTTGAGATCATGCAAATGCGATTATCTGATACGCAACCACTTGACAGAATGAACTAACCATAAGTGGGAAACTAGAGAGGTTAAACGCTTACCCAGTGCCCAGTAATTTTAGTGCCAACTTTCTAGACAAAGTCACAAATAAAGCGCAGACCTTAACTTCAAAGCAAAGCGGTGAGCTTTTTCGAGTCCGCAAGTTCAAGCTCCATAAATCAAGCAGTGAAATTAAAGGCACTTGCTAGCCTTGTCCATCAAAACATCGAGTCTGATTTGCTTCCGAGGCCAC